CTCAATACCTCTAACGTGGGATCTGCTCGTTGGGCCTGCTGGAATTCAGGACACCGCGCCTCGGTCTCTGAGTCAATAGGGGGCTCGGACACAGATTCCTGCCCCTGGACTACAGGAGGGGATGGTAACAAGGTGCGAGACTCCCAGGTTCCCCCATCTGGGTGCTCTCTTGTTGACATACGCTCTGGGTCTGCAGGCTGCGGCAGGCCCTGCTCCCTACTCGGGTAAGACCGCTGCCGGGTTACCACAGCTACAGTGGAAAACTCTGCCTCCCCCTCCCCGTGATTTGCACTTGGCACATCCTCACCAGGTACCACAGACAAGTTTGGTTCTAGCACAGACTGATACACACACTCACTCTGCCCTCCCTCCCGGGACTCTGTCTTGGCACACTCTCACATCGTATTGCAGACATATCTGGTTCTGGCACAGATTGGCACACATGCTCGCTCTGCCCTCCCTCCCAGCACAATAATTTACCTAAACATTTGCACCCTGTCCTTTCCCCAGCAGGGCCCCTACAGGGCTTTAGTTCGTAACACCTATCACTCTCAGGCACATACTGGGATAACAACCTACCTAAGTCGGTACCAAGCAATACATTTGTAGGGATATTATCCGATACCCCCACATCCCTCAGACCCCTGCCCGCTCCCCAATCCAAATATACACGTGCCATTGGCACTGCAGGACGTATTCCCCCAATCCCCTTTACAGCTAAAGTCCTGCCAGGAATGAAGTCCTCAGAGCGCACTAGCTCTGGACGCACAAGAGTCACATCTGCCCCAGTGTCCCTGAGTCCCACAGTTACCTTCTCTCCCACTGTAACAGGCTGCAGGTTCACATTGTTGTTGCCCTCTGACTTGGTCACGAACAACACAGAAGATGGGGCTCTGGCAGGTTGAACCCCTCCGGATGAGGGTGCTGGCCTCCTTTTCTCTGGGCAGGTATTACTCAAGTGCCCCATTCGGTTGCAAATAAAACATCTGCGACTATCTCCTTGCGCAGACATGGCACTAGCTCCCCCTCTCCCTGAGGTAGGGGCTGAAACAAAAGATGGCCCGCTAGGCCTGGCGATGGGGAGTCGTGGTGGTGTGGTCCTCCAGCTGGATGTTCCCTTGGCAAAACCTCTGCTCCGGTCCACTGTTGCTCGATTGGCAGTGTGGAAATCTGCCAGCTCACCCGCCTCCAATGTCGTTTTGGGGTTCCTGTCCAGCAACCATTCCTGTACATCGGCTGGGCAGAGCTGCAAAAACTGTTCTTTTATTAACAGGTCTTGCAAACTTTCCAAAGTGGTAATCTCCAGCCCTGTAGTCCACTGTCGGAATGCTGTCGCCAGGTGCCCCACAACTGCTGCATAACTTTCTGTGGGATGCTTTTGCAAAGTCCTGAATTTCTTTCGGTACACCTCAGGAGTAAGGTTGTACTGTTTTTGCAAGGCAGCCTTAATCGCATCATAGTCCTGGTCAAACTCTGCTGGAAGCGCAGCAAATGCTTCCAGTGCAGGACCTCTGAGACCAGGGGTGAGGTATTTTGCCCACTGGTCCTTTGGTAGCTGGTACTGCCTGCAAACTTTTTCAAAACTGCGCAGGAAAACATCCAAATCACCATCTTTGTCCAAAGTTGGAAAATTCTCTGCACGTGGTTTGGGTGCAGAAGAGTCTCTGGAATTAATACTTATAGGGGAGGCAGTCAACCTCTCTAACTCAGCCATTTTTAGCTCATGCTCTCTGGCAGCTTGTCGCTCCGCAGCCTCTCTCTCAGCCTGCCGCTCTGCAGCCTCTCTCTCCCTCTCCTGATATTGAAGGATAAGCTGTAGTCTTTGGTTTGTATCTGCTGAGTCCACATATTTCAACACAGTTTGCAAGTAAGAATCCAAGGGATCTCCAGATCTCGGTAAATCACTGACAAAAGCTGCAGGTATTTCTTCAGCAGTGTTTGAGGCATCACTTTGCACTGCTTGTTGCATATCATAGTCCACCAGTGCTTGTAATAGCTCCTCTTTGGTTTTTCCCCGACAGGGAATAGATCTCTCCCGGCAAAGCTGGTCTAGCGCTGCCTTGGATTGCGTCTGGTACTCCATTTAGTAAATAAAAGATAGCAAAGAAAAAACAGAGAAGGGGGGGGGGGGACTGTTGAGGTGTAAATATATTATATATGCACTGAGTTCAGCCTTTGGAAATTGAGACACAATTTCTTTTAGTGCCTGGATTAACCAACAAATCCAGCAACACTAAAATCTGGTACAAAAAGATGAAAAATCTTTTAGTTATCCCACCGCTATGCCACCAATTTGTCACGAACGCACCCTACTCCAAGAGTGTGCGTGACGTAGTTGTGGTGGTGAAAGGGTTAAAGTACACTATTTGTCTGCACTAGACCGGAAATAATGACAAAATCCCCCTTTAACACCACCCACACTTAAACATAATATTATAACTATTACTACTTTAACGCTGCCACCACCAAGACAATTTATAAATGGGGTGCCTTGGTCCCCCAGGTAAATCAATAATAAAACCCACCAAATATTACTTAATACAATATTTAAGGAATTATAAAAATACTAACTAGTCTCTTCAGGTAACGTGATCCTTAACCAGACAAAGGCAAAACTTAATAAATGAATGTTTATTATGAGCAAAAGATAGTCACAGTGCATATAAAAATATATGATAAACAAATTATTTACACCAACAACAGATAAAAACAAAAAGGATAAAATACAGAAGTCCTAATTACTCACTTAGGTTTTCAAAGTACAACTTCTGTCCAGGGGGTCTCTGGCAAGGAAAGATGGTGACTCACCCAAAATTAGATCTTGGCCCCAAGCAAGTACACCAACACCCTTCAGGATCATTAGATATATACCCTGTGGTTTATCAAGTCTTGCCCAGGGGTGGAGTTAAGGCGTACCTACAGAAATAATAACTGACCACCTCCTTTGTTCCAGACCACTGTCAATCCAAATGGAAACATTTGACTCTATCTTCTTTTTTGTACCTGCCACAGAAATAATAATTGCATCTACAAATTTGTTATTATTTTCCCATTCCATAGACATGTTGCACGTCCCACCCACGATCCAATAGGACGGACATCACAATTCCTTTCCCTAGGGTCAAGTTAGGCCACTCATGTTTGGACTTGGTTAGAAGATGGCGCTTGTCACATTCCAAATATAACAAAAATGAGGCTTAATTATTATTCTGTGGGGGTAAATATGAATGTTTTTGTCCTTCCTTTGGATATGATACTAGAACAAAGCTAATGGCATTTACATATCAAAGAGATTTACTCATCACTTACAAAATACAGGCCAAATGGATGAAGAGACATTCAGACTTTTTCCAAGTGTAGAACCTCACACCTTGCAGACTTCACATCCGTACAGTAAAATCCTTTTCACATTCCTATGCCATTCACCCTACCCCTTTTGTCATCTGCCCTCTGTGGGGGGGTTCCAGCTTCAAAAGATGTAACCCCTGTTGACCTCAGCAATAGCATCTCTGTAATTTGTGCCATTTACTACAAGAAATCACATTAAAAGATGATATTCCATAGTGTCATAATAAATTATACACCCTTGCCGTGACACCCCCTACTATATTTTTACTGCACTGTGCTACCGAATGGGGACATGCTGTTACAGCCTCTGTGAACTGCTGGACATGATTTCCAGGACATACTGCTTAAATGAATATCTCCCATTCTCTCATAAATAGAGTTGAGCGGACAACTGGATGTTCTGGTCCGGTGGGTGAGGCCGAACTTTAAAAAAAAAAAGTCCGGGTTCGGGCTTGAACTTGACCCCGAACCTGAACCCCATTGAAGTCAATGGCGAACCGAACTTTTGGCCACAAAAATGCCTCTAACAAACTCATGGAAAGAGCTAAAGAGCTGCAAAAGCAAGCAAAATGGGGTAAGAGTAGGACAAGTGCCCTGCAAACAAACGTGGATAGGGAAATCAGTTAAACTAACATAAAAATAAAAAATGCAGCTGAGCCATAAAATAGCACTAGATGGAATCTTTGATTTTAGCTTTGGAAGAACATAAATCAAAATTTAAAGCATGGCTGTCAGGAGGATCAACATAATTATCCATTTGAGAGAGGGTTGGGATGCAGTGTATTCTCTTTCATTGTTCAAACTGAGCTTAACTCCTGATGCATGGAGAAAAGGCCTTCACAAGCCTCTGCTAATGTGTACCTAGTTTATACTAAGTGACCCATACGTTGAGGAGGTGGTGACCATGGTGGTGTAGGTGGAAGCAGCGATGGAGGAGGAGGATGAGGCAGCCAACACTGTTTCTTTTTTTTTTTTGTAATTGTGATAGCCCACACAATATTGGGACATACAACAAAAGAAACATTTGCGGCCTGCGGTGCATTTCTTGCAGTCCTGATACATGGGGAAATGCTCAACTCCTGATGCATGGAGAAAAGGCATTCACAAGCCTCTACTAATGTGTACCTAGTTTATACTAAGTGACCCATAGGTTGAGGAGGCGGTGACCATGGTGGTGGAGGAGGAGGATGAGGTTGCCAACACTGTTTTTTATGTTTGTTTTTTTTCTTTAATTGTGGTAGCCCACAAAATATTGGGACATATAACAAAAGAAACATTTCCGGCCTGTGGTGCATTTCTTGCAGGCCTGATACATGGGGAAATGGTCAACTCCTATTGCATGGAGAAAAGGCCCTCACAAGACTCTGCTAAAGTGTACATAGTTTATACTAAGTAACCCATAGGTTGAGGAGGCGGTGACCATAGCAGTGGAGGAGGTGGATGAGGTAGCCAACACTGTTTTTTATGGGTTTTTTTAATTGTGGTAGCTCACAAAATATTGGTGGATTTCTTGCAGTCCTGATGCATGGAGAAATGTTCAACTCCTGATGCATGGAGAAAAGGCCTTCACAAGCCTTTGCTAATGTGTACCTAGTTTATACTAAGTAACCCATAGGTTGAGGAGGCGGTGACCGTAGCGGTGGAGGAGGAGGATGAGGTAGCCAACACTGTTTATATATATATATACATATATATATATATATATATATACATATATATATATATATATATATACATATATATATATATTAATTGGGGTAGCCCCCAAATTATTGGGACATATAAAAAAAGACAACTCTGTTCCACAGAGTAGCTGTTGACATTATAGTTGAGCAGGAACTTTGTTGACTCTAGAGAACCTCGGGCAATTTGCACATCCACGTGGCGGCGACTTTGCATGCGGATGTCATCCATATCAACTTTTGATGCCAGTTTCTGTGCCTACCATGGTGACCACGGGTAACGGGGAATCAGGGTTCTATTCCGTACAGGGACCCTGAGAAACGACTACCACATGCAAGGAAGGCAGCAGGCGCGCAAATGCCCCACTCCCGAACCAGGAAGGTAGTGATGACAAATAACAATACAGGACTCTTTAGAGGCCCTGTAATTGTAATGAGTCCACTTGAAATTATTTAACTCTGATCAATTGGAGGGAAGTCTGGTGCAGAGCCACTGACCCGTGCGTGCTGCAGCTGAAACTCCACTATCGCCTGCTGCTGCTCGCACAGTCTCATGAGGCGGTGAGCAGGAAGGCCAAAGTTACGCTGCAGAACAGACAGGTGAGCAGCAGCAGTGTGACAACGCCAAAAGTGCGCACAGCCGCTACAGTGAATGTCACATCCTGTTCCAAGTTGCAGATCAGTCTGGTGATGGCTTCTGGTATCAAGTACTCTTTTTACTGAAGCTGTATCAGGGTCCTGGTATGTTGCTACTCAAACGCTGGTGCTCAACACTAGGGGGCGTGCGGTTACCCTGCACCAGACCCTGCTAATCCATTCCACACTGTGACTCCTAACTTCAACATCAGGCATACTAGGTCCCGGTCGTCGGACCACCGCCCAGACAGTGTCTGGGTCCTGGTCATCGGACTTCCCACCTCACTGTGAAACTACGAATGGATTGTTAAATCTGGTTCGCTCAAGTCTATTATGGCTCCTTTGATCGCTACATGTATTACTTGGATAACTGGTAATTCTCGAGCTAATACATGCCGATGAGCGCTAGGGGGCAGCTGCTCCGCTTTTGCACCCTGGTCCCTCTTATGCAGTGCTGGTGCCTCTGTGCGACCAGCACCTCTTCCTCCAAACTGCACACGTCACTCGCATGATCTTGATTCCATGTGGGGCCTAGGACCTCATCATGCTCTACATCATCTTCCACCCACTCCTCAACCCTGCCCTCCTTGCCGGTATGCACACTGCAGAAAGCCACAGCAGTTGGCACCTGTGTTTTTCCAGCATGTAAAGTCTGCAAAGGACATATGGAAATTGTTTTGGAATTTCCTCCAGGCAACATTTTTCCTTATAAACTGACCTCTCAGTTTGACTTGTGAGGGTATTGCCCCAGAATTACAATATTGTTGAAGTACCTCTTAGCTATTGATCACTGGTTTCAATATAGCAGCTTGTTATCTGGTAGTTTCTAGTGTAGAAAATATCAATCTGTTTTCTATCACTTAGATCTGTGTAACAAGTGTTGTAGGTGTGAAACAATATTACAAGTGACTGATGTAGTAAATTCAAATCAAAGTTACACTTTGATTTGACTCTCAGATATGAAGGGAACACCCCAAATATAGCATTTAGCACCATTTTTTTTTTTTTTTACTTTTTAAACTCTAATGTAAGCAGCAGATTAGCAGCAAAACAATTAGAATGTTTACAACTGCGCAGTAAATGCACTATTTGACGCTTCTATTTGACTCTCAGATATGAAGTGCACCGCAGGGCGCAAATGTACTATTTAGCAGATTAGCAGCAAAGCAATTAGAATGTTTACAACTGTGCAGTAAGCACACTGTTAGACGCTTCTATTTGACTCTCAGATATAAAGAGCAGGCCCCAAAATGTACTATTTAGCAGATTAGCAGCCAGAAATGAGATTGTTTACCATTGCGCTGTAAGCACACTATTAGACGCTTCTATTTGACTCTCAGATATGAAGTGCACCCCACTAAAATACAATTTAGCAGTTTAGGACCCCCAAAAATTTAATTTTTAAAACTGCAATGTGACAGCAGTATTTGACGCTTCTATTTGACTCTCAGATAAGAAGTGCACCGCACTAATGTATTTTTTAGCACCCAAACATTTTTAAGTTTTAAAACTGCAATGTGACAGCAGTATTTGTCGATTATATTTGACTCTCAGATATGAAGTGCACCCCACTAATGTACTACCCCACTAATGTATTATTTAGCATCCAAAAAAATATTACTTTTAAAAACTCCGATGTAACCGTGGTATTTGAAGCTTCTATTTGACTCTCAGATATGAAGTGCACCCCACCCCACCAATGTACTAGTTTGCAGAATTATTTCCTAAGCTGTCCCTATCAGCGGCAGCTTCCTCTCCCTACACTAATAAGACCGCATTTGCGTGCGGCGCTACGTGACTCCAGCTTATATATGGAGGCTGGGTCACATGCTGCACTGGCCAATCACAGCCATGCCATTAGTAGGTATGGCTGTGATGGCTTCTAAGGGCACACGAGTCAAACGCTTGTTGATTGGCTGCCCTGCAGCCTTTGAAATGCACCATTAAATCGCCGAACTCCAACCTGAACATATAGTGATATGTCCGTGTTTGGGTCTGGGGTCCAAAAAACCTAATGTTCGGTACGAACCCCAACTTTACAGTTCGGGTTCACTCAACTCTACCCATAACCTTGAATTAACTGTTTGAGCACAGATTAGTGCTCTCTGTGACCAGCACTTAAGGGTTTATACCTTATGCACCTCAGGTGAGGTCCCTACTATATATTTTACTACACTGTGCTACTGTATGGAGACATGCTGCTACAGCCTCTGTTAATTGCTGGACAAGATTTCCAGGACATACTGCTTATGGGAAAATCTCCCATAACCCTGAATTAACTTTGAGCACAGATTAGTGCTCTCTGTCAGAGCTGTGGCCTGCACTTAAGGGTTCATACCCTGTGCACCTGAGGTGAGGTCCCATCTATATATTTTACTATACTGTGCTACTGTATGGAAACATGCTGCTACAGCCTCTGTTAACTGCTGTACAAGATTTCCAGGACACACTGCTTAAAGGAATATCTCCCAAACCTTGAATTAACTCTTTGACCAGCACTTAAGGGGTCACACCCTGCGCATCTGAGGTAAGGCCTCTACTATATGGGTGCTGCACTGTGCTGCTGAGTGGAGTCATACTGATGCAGCTTCTGTTTACTGGGTGAGCCTCAGACTATTTTATTTGGCCACTGTTAAAGATTACAACCCTGATGGGTTTCTGTGAGCATTGCCTGCTACTATTGTAGTCTGGTCTATTTGCCCTGCATCCTGCAATTGCCTCCTAATTTGTGCCTTCTACATCATGAAAATTCTACCTGTCTACTTTTTTGGGTAAGCCCCAATTCTGTGTCACACGAGTTGCCACTATGGAAGATTCCCTGGCTAACCCTGTGGAATTTCAGGTCATGATACAAGCAGTGGTAACAGCATTTGTGGAGAAAAAACTCTCAAATATGCTGACAGGAGGGCCAGTCCCCTCTCCGAAACCAGCCACCAGACGAGCCCAATACAGGGTGGACTCTGATGCTTTGGATGTCTCCACAGCAAGCGCCATTGGAATGGCAAAGGCACTAGACCTTTACGGTCTAAGGGCAAAGCCTCCGCCAAATGCAGTAGGCCAACTCCGGCAATTGCCCAAACCCCACGGATGGACGATATCCGTGAATAAACACAGATGTTTCTGTTTCATCGGAAACACCAACGTTTGCCTCTCCTCTGAGAAGTGCATAGCAGCACTCCTCCGTATTGACGGAAAGTTGGCGGATCTGGGCACCAAAACATTGGGAGGCCGGGCACAAGGCACGCTCTTCAAGGAGGCATTCCTGAGAGAGCTTATTACAAATGTTAGTGTTCTCACTTTCCTCATCAAGATCAAAACCTCCAAGAGTAAGATGTTCTGTGGTAAACTCTCTAATGGGATGATCAGGAGGGCTGGTCGACAGCGGGCCATGTCGCCAACCGCATCAGACCCTGTACCTCGCTACCACATCCTTTTTACTCGAAGTGGGTGGGAGACAAACCTACTTGTACTCCAGGCAATCGGACAGAGGACACGGAACGCACAGATGCGCTAGTTTCCATTTTTCCTCAGGTAAGCGTCTCTATGGTATTATTGAATGTGCTTCCTACAATGCCATCACTTCAAGGTTGAAGGCATTCAAACTTAATAAGGGACCTTGTCGCGTAGAGAACTGGTTTGCGAATCTGGTAATGAAGACACATTCTGTCGATCCCTTTCCACCCCTTTTCCCTTTGATGCAGTCAACCTTGGCACTTCACCTGATTCCTCAGCTCCTTGGGGCTTCGAGACACTACTGAAACCAGTGATCGCTCACATATGGGCCAGGGGGATGAGTTGCATTATTTACTAGGACGATATCTTTCTGCGGCTGGAATAGTTGGGTTTCGTAGTGAATCAATAGGAGTCTGCGATGGCCCTGCCTGGATGGTCCACTTCTTAGGATTTGTAATCGACTCCGCGTCTTGCATCCTGAAACTCCCTCATTAAAAAGGTCTTCTCAATAATCAAGGAAATTCGCAAGGTCCTTCGCTGCAACACCATGCCCTCCACAAACTCATGGATCATGGGCTACTGTCCTCCTCCATCCAGACTATCTTCTCGGGCCTGCTACATTACCGGGACATGCAGCGCCTCATGGTGAGATTTCTTTGGGTGAACCCCACCTATGACCAACCGTACTACATTCTGGAGTCGGACACCAGCCTGCGAGAGTGTACACACGGAAGGCATGTGTACAACTCAGAAAATCTCCCTTCACATTGACTGCCTAGAATTCTTCACTATCCGCAGCCTGGTGAAGGAGTAATCAATTTGTTGCATCCTTCTCCAGATGAACAGCGCATCGGCAGTCCGGTATATCAATCGCCTGGATGGAGCCTGCTCCTGTCTTCTATCAGACATCACAAAAGGCATCTTCGATTTCTGCCCCCCTCACAGGATCCCCCTGAGAGCGAACTACCTCCTGGGGGTGACACATCTCACCACAGATTGGTTCTTCAACATTTAGAGGGATCACCAGACTTCAGTGTTCTTCAATTGGCTCCCAGATCCAGAGTGCATGATGTTAGATGCACTCCTGCAGGCTGGGTCCCCCTTGGGGGCATACGCTTTTCCCTCCTTCGCAATGATTGTGAGAGTTCTCCATTACCTGTGTGTTCCATGAGTAACACTGACCTTGGTCACTCTTCTGTGACGGAGCCAACCTTGATTTCCTCCTCCTGCCTTCATACCTGACGCTTCTTATGGACCTGAAGGGAAACCCACACATTATACTCCTGGAGGGTCGGCTCACCATGGTGGCCTGGTATCTTTCTTTGGTTTTTAGTAGATAGGCGGACTATCGCAGGGTGCTAGGGACGTCTTATTGGACTCTTAGGCGCCAGGGATGTGACAATGCTACATCTCCATCCGGGCATTCCCGGTCTGGTT